GGAGTGGGTTGCCATTTCCTTCTCCAGAGGATCTGCCCGACCCAGGGATAGAACCCAGGTCTCCCACATGGGATGCTTTAACCTCTGAGCCACCAGGGAAACCTCTAGAAGGTTTCTAGAGTAGACGTCAAAAAAATCATAAAAGTTACCATGTTGACACTGAACTTTTCCACATGATTATAGAGGAAGATTGGAGAAACACTGAGCTAGGTGATGTCCTCAGTGAACGGGGGAGGTGGCTTGGGAGATGTCAGGTGACACATGGAGAAGAAAAGCTGGTAGAGCTGGCCAACCGAGTCACACGGGAAGAGAGCTTTGCGTGGGGCTGAAGGAGGGAGTGGGTGGGAACTGGGAATCGGGAGGAAGGTGTGTATTGCGCGATTTTTGAAAAGTTCAATCCAAAAGTTAAAAACCGGTGCAAGGTGGCTGGTACTCCTGGTATTAGAGTTGCCAGATTTAACGGATACAAATTATAGGACATGAATAACTTTTTAGTATAAATCTGTCCCATTGCACAGAACATATTTAAACTAAAAAATTACTTGTTTATCTGAAATTCAGACTTAACGGGGTATCCTTTATTTTATCTGGCAGTCCTACCTGGTGTACCTGACAAATTCCCAAACCCCTCAGAAAGACATTATCACAGAGTTTTCACCAGGAGGAAAAATCCCTGCTGAGGATGACCCACAGACAAAAGTCTGAAACCACACAGACACGAAGCATCACAAACAAGAGTCGGTAGAAATGACAAACAGGACAAAGCCTCTGGAAGTTCTTTGGTCACTGAGCAGATCCTTCTTGAAAACTGTCCTGAGTGCTGGGAATATATGTGGGGAACAAAACAGGCAAAAGTCAACGCAGTAGTCACATCTGACTGTCTCCATTAAAATAAGTGAAAAGTCAACAAGATTAAAACAATTTTTCTTCAGTCACTCCAGCCACATGTGACTGGTGGTTACCCTACGGAGCAGCTCACAGAAAATTTCCGTTCTTCCAAAAGTTTTACTGGGCAGTGTTGACGGAGGCTTACAAATCATTACACAGACTTTGTGGCTCTTATTCTCAATGAGATGAAGATGACAGAAAAAAAGAATGTAAAATGAGTAGGTTTCACATGATTAATAAAAGAAGGAATCAAAGCCATAGAAAATACCAAGACACTGTAGAAAAGGGAAGACTTGAAAAAGAATCAGTAGACCCTCCAGAAATTTTTTTTAGTTGACATTAAAACCTCAATGATTAAATAGCAGATAGCAAAACTGGAAATTAGTAAACTGGAGTATAATATGTTATCTTATACAGTGCTTCATGTGGGTCAGACAGTGCTCTGAAAGCTTCATTTAATAGAACAGCTATAGGTAGGGGGAGAGTATATTTTTCCCCCCGGTAACAAGCAAGGAAACAGGTGCAGAGAAGTTCTGGTTCCTTGCCCACGATGCATTCAACCACTATGCTATATTGTCTTTTAGGAATTTACTTGGAATGCAGCAAGAATGATAAAGAGAAAATAAGAGGGAAGATGACACATGATGGAATGAGAAGGCCCAGTGAGCATCCACAGGAATCCCAAGAGTGAATAAAGAAAACAGCAGAGGCAAGTAGTATTGGAAAAGGGAGGCTGAGACTTTTTCATAGTTCATAAAGATGAATCCTAAGATTCTGGAAGCACAAGTCCCAAGAATACAAATGAATTTATAGCAACCCCAAGTGGTAATAGGGCCCGGTGGCTCAGAGGTTAAAGCGTCTGCCTGCAACACAGGAGACCACAGTTCGATCCCTGGGTCGGGAAGATCCCCTGGAGAAGGAAATGGCAACCCACTCCAGTACTCTTGCCTGGAGAATCCCATGGACAGAGGAGCCTGGTAGGCTATATAGTCCATGGGGTCGCAAAGAATCAGACATGACTGAGTGACTTCAATTGCAGAATACCAAAAGCAGAGTGGAAATCCTTAAAACCTCTAGGGGAATTTATTCCCAGAACAGGGAGAGGCTGGGTGACAGACCCATAGTGGGAGGTGAAAGATGGGTGGCGGGCCATGAACACAGCAGTGTGGCTCTGAGAAGGGCACTTCTGGGTAACTGGATGGGCTGGGTATGGGACAGAGACCTCTAGGAGGACTTATTCAGCCCTAGCTCCTCATTAGTGGGACTCAGCTTCTCCCAAGTCCTGGTAAGTGCCCAAGCTTGTGCTTTCTCTCAAAGTACAGGGTGAGCGTGGCTCTCAGAACCTTAATAAATAGTTGGTGCATAAACAGATACAAGAAGCATTTTGAGAATAATGAGGCCAAGCTGGTAGCTATACTTGGATTGCTAAACTGATGTATTTATGAAAGGCCTTGTGATGATGTTTTTGTGAAAGGCTGTTCATGGTGATAAATATGATTTCAGTTTTGGCTAAGAACCTAAAGCAGTGTAAAATAAACAAGAGAAATCTCTAACATCCTTTCTAGATGTTTTCTAGGCTGATTATAAATATGAGTTAGTGCACATGTAAATCATAGTAATAGAAGCCAGAGTAGCGTGGATGGCATAGTCTTGTCTGTCTGAGCAGAGATCTTTCTGCCACAATTGTAAGAAGTGACAGACTGCAATCTTTGCCTCCCAGTAGGATTTGATAACATAGAAAAAAACAGACAGTTGCCTTATCACAGGTGCTAATGTTGCAAAACGGAAAAGAAAAGCATAGTATTTTCCTGCTCTTAGTTTAGGCTTGGCTGTGTTGGGTGTATCAGACTTTTCCACTGACCATCCTGGGCTACACAGTGAGGCCATCCTGGGCTACACAGTGAGGCCGTCCTGAGGAAGTGGTGTTCCAAAACAAAGTCCTGTCCTCGCTCTTTCTGTCATGATTGGATCATGTATACGGGAAAGAAATGGGATAGATGGACACTGCTCCACTGTAGAGAAGTCTGGTATTTTGGACTAGTATTTTAGTATTAAAAATACATACAGCCCAAATGTCACAATTCTTATCTGTAAGCCTTGGAGGAAGGTACACTCACATCATTTTTATGCATGAGGAAACTGAGGCTCACGGTTACGTAATGACAAATTGGATATACAGATGGATCATGGGCAGACCATAAATAAAACCAGAACTCTGGCTGGCAGCCTACAGCAATAAGCATAGGAAACCAACTCATTATCCATAGTAGCAGGTACAGAGGCCAGCCTGCTGTAAGTCAGGCTTGTAGGAAGTTGGACCACTACTTCTGGAAGCAATGCAGGAAGCCAAATTAAAATGCCTGAAACAACTGGCCCCAGATCACTAGGACTTTATTAACAACTGACAGCTTCCCTAATTTCTGTCCCTATTTCCAGCTTAGGACCAACCAGCGGAAGCCACGAATGCTCTTCCCATTGTACCACGTGCCCTTTTATGGGAGCTGAGCCTCCAGTGCCTTCAGTAGGCCAGCAAGCAGGACACCAATGAGAGACGGGTATGTACATTGGTTTGGCATAGTTTATTACAATTAGTATGCATAGAAAACCATGTAAACTCACACGGTAAGTGGTTTGTCCTCCACAGTAACCACAGATAATCTGCTGTGACCTTCCAGCACCTCAGTATCATAGAAAGTGTCATACAACTAGCATTACACATTTTTAGGGAAAGAATTTTTTGGTCCACATTTTCTATTAAAACAAAAACATACACTTTCCTCTTTGACAAAAGAGGTTAAATTTGCACACCGCCCCCCGCCCTCCCGCCCACAGTGAACTTAACAAAGTAAACTCAGATAAAACCACTGGACAATGAGATACAGCTGAAGTCAGGGCCAATCTGGAATTACAGACACCTACTTGAGGGAAAATTTTTTTCTTACAAAATTAGCTCTTTCCAGCCATCTCAGTAGAAAAAGCTCTATGTAGATTTGGCTTCAGCCACCTTTAATAACACACTTCAAATAACTTTTTTGTGTTTCAAATAGTACAGTGTGCTGTTTCCGACGAAAGTCATGAAAAGTGTGGGCGTCTGACCTCAGCAGTATTTTTCATCTGAGGTACAAAAGCATCTGACACAGTAATTTATAGCGTAATTGCTGTGCCACCTTCACTCTGTTGAGAGAGCAGTTTTGGTTGCTCTAAGTCTCAGCAGTTGGCTTTGCAGACAGTTTGAAAAGGCAGATTTGCATGTGAAAGTGAGTTATCTGCCAGGCCTGAGGTGAACAGGAAGCAAAGTGTCAGGAAGGCCAGCTGCTCAGAGGGCCAGGTTCCGCAGGCTGAGGGAAGTGAGGTCCCCAGCAGGCCAGAGACCTGGTCCTTGCACACCTTGACAGGCCGCTGCACATCCCCACCTGAAGTAGGGTCTCAGGAACCGGCAGCTGCCGAGGTGCCAGTATTTTGTTTGTTCTTGTTAATCTACAGTGGTAATTGCAAACCACCACCCTGGTGTGCTTGTCAGGCTTCAAGTAATTTCATTCCTTCCAGGAGAAGAATGTTAACAATGCTTTTAGTTTTCCATATCAAAGGAAAGGAAATGAGCCATAATAACAACAAGATTAAGTTTAAACAGACCTGCTGCTAACACAGTATCAGATAAAATATATTTAAAAAGTGAACATACTATTATATGTTTTTGCAACAGCTGCATTCTCCCACTTAACCTCCCTGCAGAACGAAAATCTGCTAAAGCAAACTTAAGTTACTTTAATTCTTGTTAAATACAACTCTGTACAGATTGCACATTTTACACCGAAGCAGCTCAGTATCACAGTTAGAGAAATGAAAACGCCATCTGAAAAATATTCATTTTTCTAGCCCACAAAACCCAACAGACGCTGGCCCTCAGGGTCACAACAAAACCAGCTGCACAATTCTGTAAACAGTGTGGACGGGGGGCTCTCTGACTCCCCCGCAGGATCCTGTTCCACCGCGCAGACACGCACGCGCACACACCACACTCGCACGCACACTCTCCCGAGCGCATCGGCTTCCAGGGCGGCGCGGCCCGGCGCTCAGTACCGCAGCAGCAGTTTCGTTCACAGTGTGTGTGTTCACAGAAGAGCGGTCATGGCCGTCGGGTTGAGGGGTCTGAGGCAGTCTCTGGGGGCCAAGTAGGCAGCGCTGCTCGCGGGGCTGACCTGGGGCTTCTGAGAGTCGGGAGGGGCGCGCCCCGCGGCTGAGCCCTTGGGCTGGTCGTAGCCCGGCTCCGCGGGCGCGGGGCTCGGCGGCCGCTGGTAGCCGGCGGCTGGGGAGAAGGCACCGGAGGAGAGGGAGTGCTTGTGCGCCGGCCGGGGCCCCGGCACTCGGTAGCCGCTCCGCGCCGAGAAGGTGTGCGCGCGGGCCAGGTGCCCCTCCACGATGGGCGTGGCGTACTCGGGCTCGGCGTGGGTCAAGGGCAGTGCGTACTCGTGGCGGCCGGCCGGCAGGGGGCAGTCGTAGTGGCCGCCGGCCTCGATACCCGGCCCCGCCGCGTCCGCCTCGGTGTCCATCGGCCGGAAGGTGGAGCCCTTCCTGGTGACCGTCCCGGTGCCAATCATGAGAGGCTGCTGGTAATCTGAAACCCAAAGAGCAGACTTTTGGTACCCGGCTGTCTGCAGAGGGGGTGCTCTGCCCGGTGCCTGACGTGTACCAGGCGGAAGAGAAAGATGGAGATGTAAACAGCACAGATACCACGCCTCGAGAGGTGGAGATTACCCCTAACCACACCTAGGAGGTATGAGGGAACATCATGGAGCTCTTAAACTGGCTCTTGAAAGGCCAGATTTCGGAGTTGAAGATAATACTGTCAGGAAAGGGGAAAGTGAGTGAACAACCTGTTAAACAACGATGAACAGGGTGGTGTGACCAGAGTAGGGGAGATGTGGAGAAATTTAATGGAAAGCCAAGACCAGAGTAATAGGTTGGGAGTTCATGACAACGGTAATGGTGATCACGGGCTTCCCAGGTGGCACTGGTGGTAAAAAACCTGCCTGCCAATGCAGGAGACCTAAGAAATGCGGGTTCGATCCCTGGGTCAAGAAGATCCTCTGGAGAAGGGAGTGGCTACACACTCCAGTATTGCCTGGAGAATCCCATGGACAGAGGAGCCTGGCTACAGTCTGTGAGGTGAGAAGGAGCACACAACTGGGCGACCAAACAGCAACAGTAATAATCATAAAGCTCACATTTACCGAGTTCTTTCTTGGCGCCAGGCGCTATTCTGTAACATTAAGATATCAACTAGCTAAATCCTCTGGAAAAATGTGTTGAGGTAGTTTCCTCATAGTACTTTACAAATGGAAAACTGAAGCAGAGAGAAATTTAAATAATTTTTCCAGGATCACACAGGTAGCAACCAGTGGGGCCAGAATGCAAACACATGTCCCAAGTGCGAGTTGTTACCTATACCCTAGATCATGGAGGGCAGTGAGTGCCCTGCCAGGAAGTTTGGTTTAATTGTGTAGAAACATAAGTGACTGGCAGAGAGGTAACCCTGGAAGGAGACAGAAGAGGGAAAGATAAAACTAAAAAGCAGAGAAATGAAACAAAAATGTCATAAATTAGGGGACTAGCAGCAGCTTTGGAAAGACCACACTTTGGGGACAGGTTTCAGAAGAATAGGGCTTCCCTTATAGCTCAGTTCGTAAAGAATCTGCCTGCAATGCAGCGAAGCTGGGTTCAATTCCTGGGTCAGGAAGATCCTCTGGAGAAGGAAATGGCAGCCTGCTCCTATATCCTCGCCTGAAGAATCCCATGGACAGAGGAGCCTGGCAGGCTACAGTCCATAGGGTCACAACAGTCAGACATGACTTAGTGACTAAACCACCACCATCAGAAGAACTGGTCACCAACAATGTAAGTAAGGTGAGAGGAAAGAGGATGCTTCTCAGCTGTTAAGCCCTGAAAGATGGGATGCACAGATGGAAGCCACCTAGAAAAGGAGTTCCTGGAGCATATGGGTTAGAAAATGACTGTTGTGGGACTTCCCTGGTGGTCCAGAGGTTAAGACTCTGCATTTCCAATGCAGGGGTTCAATCCCCGGTAAGAAATAAGATCCAACATGCCACAGGGCATGGCCAAAAACTTTTTAAAAATTAAAACAATTTTTTCAATTTCTTTTTAAAACTTCACATATTTATACTGTATTTTACAAAACTATTGATCCTTGATGGACTAGACATTTTGAAAACCCAAACAATAGATCCTTCTTCATAAATCCAGTGACTCCACAATGGCTTGTCAAAACCCTAAGGCCATTCTAACAGATTGCCTCATCTCCTTCTTCCTCTTTCTTCAGGGCAGGAGCTATGCTGAATTCATCTTTCTAGTCCCTCTTTCCTAGTGCCTTAATCAAAACCTTAGTAACAAAAATAGATTAAGTGAGGGCTTCTAAATTTCAGTGGTACTTCAGGACCATCGCTCTGGGTGTCATTAGAGGCCCTGCAGGTGTAAGAGTCTAGGCTAAATGGGGCTTTGGGAAAATAGTTCAGTGTTAGTTTGTGACTCTCTACAGAGCACAGAGAGAAAATGTCACACATTACTGATTTACTAGATCCTGTCTAAACAGAAGATTTTAGTCATACTTCTCTTCCTGGCCTCCCCTCCCCCATAAGCAGCACCTCAAGCACGGTCACGGAGACTTGGTACCTACCTGCTATGTCACTGGTGATGAGATCCAACTTTTGTGTCATCTCCTTTTCATTATCGTAGCTGATGGTAAACTCAGCTGACTGATGCCTGGCAAAGGGATACTTGATCTGCTTCCAACAGTCTGGAATAAAGATAACACGAAACAACTATCTCAGGAGTATAACACAGTTACTCCACAACAGGTTCCTCCTGAAGTCAGAGGTCAGGCTGCCTTTGGCCAGCTGCCTGTGACACATGCACAACCACAGCTCTCGAGGTGTGTGGTGGGAACAGCCTGCTGAGGTCATTACAACAGGAGCACACACCACCCAAACCACGCTTCCCGCTGTGCCTGTAAAATGCACTTGTGTACCCAGCAGCCCCCAGGTTATCCCGTTTAGACCACCTGGGCATGAACTTCCCTAATCTGAGCTGACAGGGCTTTTGTGACCTTGAAGAGTCCACACAGCGGGCGGCTCAGAGCCTCTGAAGATGGCACCCTACAGTGGCCTTGAGATTCTCAGGGGTCCTGCCTGCTGCCCCCTCTCGGGACCACAGCTGACTCACTGCAGGGCATCCCAAGTCCTAAGGAGTCTCTGAAACCTGCCAGTCCTTCCCCCGATCTCCCGGAATGAGAAACACAAGGCTGAAGGGGTGCTCTCTTCTCCTTGGTGACAGGCAGTGTGGTGACCCAAACTCCAGTTGTCAAAAAAATAATTTTGACAAATGATGGGGTGATGTTGAACAAAGGTAAAAGTAAACTGGCTATGAAGATTCTGAATTAAGAGATATAGGATACAATATATTCTTTCCTGTTAGATTTGCTAACTTAAAGCTATTAAATCTTATTTCTTTAACCATATAAGTGTGGGTTTTCATGTCCTCAAAGACAGAATAAAACTAATAGTTTTTGCAACCAACCTGTTTTCTGAGCCTTAGATGACCCATAAGGATTTCCTTTTTTCTTCTTCCTATTAAAACAAAAAAAATCCCACTGAAAAGATTTCTAAATGATAAGTACTGCTCATGAAATAATACTTGATACTTTCTCCCTCTCTCCAACTTGTTTTAAAAATATGTTAACATTTTATCTTGGAAAAAGTGATGCTGCTTTCTACACATGAACATATGAAGAGCAGTAAACTTTTGTGATTGTTGACATAATTAGAATAAAAATGTTTTTAAATGTGAAGTCACATACTTTCTAAGGACTGCAAAGATTCCCACTCCAGCAGCCAGCACGAAGAAGAGCACCAGTGGAATAACAATAGTTGTGATGTTTAATCCTGAAAAGGGGAAAAGCCACCACATTACAACAGAAATGAAGAGGGACCAAATTCCATGATCTAAAACTGAACACTGATTTGAAAAGTCCTCACTGGTTTAACATGTGGGGAAAAAAAATACACGCTAGACATGTAATGATACTGGAAAGCAAAAAGAGAGGACTCAAAATCCCAGCTAAAGTTTGGGAAAATAAAATTGATCTTTTTTTTTCCCCCCAAAGGCACTTTCCAATGTTCCTTGGGATTAACATTTACTCTGAGTTTGTTGCCTGGATCATATTAGACTAAAAATAACAATGGTTGGGGAGGTTTATAACTGGCCTTATTCAGGCAGGTAGATGATGTAAGCACACTGCAGAACTCTCAGTGTGGCTCAGGTAAGCATTTCCCCGAGACGGGGGCAGGTTTGGACCTGTAGGGTAACAGAAGCCCGGGGAACCAGACCCTTGGAACCGTGGACTGAAAGGACATGCAGGCCAACATCGGACTGAAAGGACATGCAGGCCAACATCGGACTGAAAGGACATGCAGGCCAACATCAGACCATGTCTTCCCACAACTGTCTGTTTTAAGGAAGAAGGTCACTTTAACAGCCACGGAAGACCCCAGGCTTATAGAAACTATGAAAACTAAAGGAGAAATGTTTCTTCTTAACCCTTCTATTTTCTTTGTTCCCTGGGAAGAAAATAAAGGAATGATTAGGAGTAGAAATGTGTCGTGCACGAAATGGAGGAGAAGGAAATTAGAAGGGAACAATATTTATGTAAATAACAGTGGTGTTATTTATAGGAGTGGGAATTTGGGGAAAATCTAACAGTTCAAACATCCAGTAACAGGGGAATGGTTAACTAGATGGTATGTCCATATGAAGAAATACTATAAAGATATCAGTAACTGTGTTTTTCAACTATTTAATTGCATTGGAAAATGCTCATAATACAATGTCAGATGAAAAATACATGCTACAGAAAAAAATATGTGGCATGCTGCCATTTTGTTTTGAAGTTACAAAAATAAATATAATTGGATACACAGTGGAATATGGTGACCATGGATGCTGATTTATGGATGATTTTTATTTTCTTATATATATATCTCAAATCTTCCATATTGTATAAAATTAATATGCAAATTATTTTACATTCTGAAAAAAATAAATGTATTTTTAATGTTTATTATTTTAAGTTGTCAGTGTGTCTCAGAGAACTTTCTCTAATATACTTTTTTATGGTTGAGTATTCCGTGGCATGACTGTGCTATTGGTTTCTTTTTTTTCCTACAGAAGATTTACTTAGTGTTTGAAGGGCACATGCTTTTGTTTCTAGCCTGTTTCTACTTGCAATAAAAAGTGTGGATACCAAGTCTACAAGCAATAAATGCTGGAGAGGGTGTGGAGAGAAGGGAACCCTCTTACACTGTTGGTGGGAATGCAAATTAGTACAGCCACTATGGAAAACAGTGTGGAGATTTCTTAAAAAGCTGGAAATAGAACTGCCATATGACCCAGCAATCCCACTTCTGGGCATACACACCAAGGAAACCAGATCTGAAAGAGACACGTGCACCCCAATGTTCATCGCAGCACTGTTTATAATAGCCAGGACATGGAAGCAACCTAGATGCCCATCAGCAGACGAATGGATGAGGAAGCTGTGGTACATATACACCATGGAATATTACTCAGCCATTAAAAAGAATTCATTTGAATCAGTTCTAATGAGATGGATGAAACTGGAGCCCATTATACAGAGCAAAGTAAGCCAGAAAGATAAAGACCATTACAGTATACTAACACATATATATGGAATTTAGAAAGATGGTAACGATAACCCTATATGCAAAACAGAAAAAGAGACTCCGATGTATAGAACAGACTTGTGGACTCTGGGAGAAGGCGAGGGTGGGATGTTTCAAGAGAACAGCATCGAAACACGTATATTATCTAGGGTGAAACAGATCACCAGCCCAGGTTGGGTGCATGAGACAAGTGCTCGGGCCTGGTGCACTGGGAAGACCCAGAGGGATTGGGTGGAGAGGGAGGTGGGAGGGGGGACCGGGATGGGGAATACATGTAAATCCATGGCTAATTCATTTCAATGTATGACAAAAACCACTGCAATGATGTAAAGTAATTAGCCTCCAACTAATAAAAATAAATGGAAAATAAAATAAAATAAAATAAAATTTATCAGGTTTATGAAAAAAAAAAAGTGTGGATACCTACTATCTTATGCATATGCAAATACTTCTGAACCATCTGCCTCTAGACACTTATATGACAGAGGAAAAAAGAATGTTGTTGAAGCTATTGTACTATTGGCTGGAATACCAGCTATGTTCCTTAAGAAACCACAAAACAATCCCTGCCATACCTTTGGGCATTTCTTCAGCGGGGATGGGTTTTGAGATTGTCTCATCTTCTTCTTTCGTTGAACCAACAGTATCCACACTTGTTTTGTGCCACACCAGTGAGTCATTATCTGAGTGAGAAGAGATGTTGGAGAAACCACACTGGTAACAGCAGTTTGTGAAAGGAGGGGACCCGAATTCAGTAACTCCTTCACTCACCCTGAGTCATGCTCGGCGCAATCTGGCAGCCAAGGAGCTCCACTTTCAAGGCTATCCTCTGGTGCCACGTCTGGGGGATGACGCGCACGTATCTGGCCACAATGGGAGGGATGAAATTGTTCCGCACAGGGTCCCGAAAATTAGAGTTGCCCTGAAACACCTGTAGGAACAAAGTAACTTTTACCTGAAGCTTCTATTAGTTTCTAGGTCTTGATCAACCCACTCACACCTGGTGATAGGAAATCAAAGCCAGGATTCTGTGTCCGTCGCATTTGTATAGACATGCCTGATATTGAAGATACAAAGCCTAAGTAACTGGACGTGGTGCTTTGCATCTGTTTTCTGGAAACACACTAATGAAAATATCCGGAGGCCCACTCTCCGACTCAGTTCCTCCCTCCAGAGTGTCTCTTACCTTTTCTTCATTATTCACAATTCCTTTATAGGTCTTCCACTTGGAGTTGTTGTTTCTGAAGCTCATTACAAAACTCTTTACATAGAAGTTGAAATTTGACTGTGTGGATCCTGTGGTCCTAATTCCTTATAAGAAAATATTATTTATGGGTTAGTTTTAAAAAAATGTGACATATAACTTGCATTATTATTTTCAGGTTTCTTTTCCTTTCTTCCCCTCCCCCATCTGAAATTTCAAATCATTTTTCAGGCCTGCTTTTCTCATCTGCATTTAGAAACGTGATGACAGATGAGTTTTCACACTGACAATATGCCCTAAAAAGGTTTCCGCGAAGAGATACTTATCTCTTATCCACACATCCATCTGTATACCCTCCACGCAGGTTCTTCTCACAGAGACAAGGTGAAGATTTGTTACTTTTAAATGAGACATGGTACTTTGAGATGGGGACACACATGCAAATTCAAAACAATTTCAATGGCAGGTCATCTTGTTTCATGAAATTGCACTTGTGTCCATACCTGTTATTTTCTTTTTCTCTCCCAAATCTATCCTTAGCCACTCTCGCTGTTTGTGGTTCTTGCTCCTGTCCCCTGAAGCCCACGACGGGCCTTGGTCCTGAAGGCGGGCTTGGCCAGGAGACCAGCGGACCTGATCTCCAGTCTCATTGATCCACTCCCAAGAAGAAGAAGCTCTGATTTGCCTGTCAGGTTCCAAACTCAAGGATCTGCTGCAGCCTAGGATAAAGGGCAGGAAAGATTTCAGATATGGACACAAAATGAAAACAAAAAAGCAAAAAAAAAACAAACACCCTATTTCACCTAGAATGATTCAGTTGATTTACTTCTGTTCTGATACTGAATCAACTGTTTAATTACTAGTTTTTAATGATCCAGAGTTCCATTTGACTTGTTGGTACTGTGGCGTCTTGAAATTGTTGCTGTTTTTTTTAACAGAATTTATATCCCCTAAAAGTGATATCTCTTTGTCCCCACTGCAGATTTTCCTTTCTATCCTTCTAAATTCACCCTAATTTCCATGAAGTGCGAGGTGTCTTAAAAGCTTAATGCTGAGGTTCTTCTCGGTTGATTAGAAGGGAGACTTCATGCTCTGTGCCCTTGAAGAGCAGGTGCAGCAGGTGCTCAAAGATCGGCTCATCATACCCAACATCACCCCTGGGCGCTTAACTATAGCAATGTCCAAGACAATGCAAAGGTAGCAGATAAAGGCCAGTCCTCTTCCTGGGCAGAGAAGTTTACAGTGTTCTCCCCAAATATTTTGTATGAGGGAGACTATTTCCCCAGAATAAATTCCATGATGGAGGGGCTAAAAAAAGCCTTTATACTATATATTCATTTTCAATAACTTGATCACAAATACAAATTGTACTTACTCAAAAGCTTTTCCTGTTAAAAATTGACAAAGGAGTTTATCTTAAATGTCATTTTAAATTTTCATTCTTTTTGGCAAAAGTATGAGAGATTATAAAGAAAAATATTTTCTGCCTAGTGCCAACTGGGTTTATTCGCTGATGTATTTTTAAGTCACAGCATATTGGTGCTACATAGCCTGAGGGGAAAGAAAAATAATCCTTTAAACTATTTCACCTGAGGGGTATGGAAGAATAGACTACCCCTGAAGATTTTTAAATTATCAAATTCTTAAGGAAAGCATGATCCTTACCATTGGAGGTAAACAGAAATCGCTTGTCTGACAGGGAACCGCTGAAATAATAAACACAAAGATGAGGAGGTGAGTTGCTTCACTGGCTCTTAATGACTGGTAGAGCGCTACAGCATGGGGCTCAGAGCCTTCCCCCACCTCAGGTGGTCCTCAGAGCACCTGGCAAGGCCACTCCTCCCTCCGTCGCTGGTATTTCACAGACCAAGAAACTCAGGCCCTTTGAAGGTAAGCAACTTCCCTGAACTCACTCAGGTGACAAGTGGCCAGGACTCTGGAGGCACTGCTTGTGAATCAAAATTCTGTGCTCTTCCCATCCCGCCACACTGTACCGGGACGGAATGTACACATATACGGTCTCCAGAACACCCTGAAAGCCCAGTTAATGAGTTTGTGGTGGCGGAGACAGAAAGGATGCCTGCCCTAGACATGCTCTTTGCTTCAGCAGGCACCCCCACAGCGCCCCACTCACTAACAACTGTCAAGGACCACTGAGACATGAAGACGCCCGCTCACTTTGAGAATGGGCATGTTATCTGCTGCCTTCGCTACAGACTTCACTCCTTCCCTGAGTGGTCCTGTGTCAGCCTGAGGGGCCGCCTCAGCCTGGTCTCTCTCTCCAGGCACAGTCCGGCCTCCTGCAGCAAAGACTCCCAGCCGTGAAGCAGTTCCTGCCTCTGGATAACAAGGTGCAGCTGGAGAAAACTCAGAGCGCCTCACTGACAGGTCCTGACCCGGGCCCGCACGGCCGCTGGACAGTCCTGCCCAGCTGGCCTGGACCCAGTTCTATAACCTGAAGCACTCTCCTGGCGAACTTATCAAATCTGCCTTGCTCTGCATTTGTCTCCTGCAGAGAAGAGGTTCCTAAGGCCTACCATCACACTTTTCTTTTTGTAAACCCCTCATCAACTCAATGCTGTGACAGTACAGAGAATGAATAGAAAACTTGAAATTCTCAAGATTCATCTTATATGCATCATACTTTATGTATTGGATACTAGAGGTAAACAAAAAAGGTAGACATCACTGTCATGTTCAATTATTTTACAATCTGAGTACTGCTTACAGTTTTAAATGTTTTGACTCAATTACTATGCCAATAATGGACAAAGAGTACTGAAATGTGAAATCCACAGAGAACCCAAAAATAGTCTGGACAAGAGTATTAGCACATTCACATCAAAGGTTTTGTTTTTTGGTTTTTTTCTTAAGTAACAGGTTTTTCTTTCATATTCTTTGTCCACTCTCAGGAAGAGACTCTGTAAGCCTTGGTTTTCCACATTCAGATTCTATTATGATCCATGCTGAGCATAACGCAGGGACCAACCATTTCATACATGAGAAAATGCAGGCCCACGTGGATCATCGAACCTCCTTCAGTTCATAGTTAGTGGCTGAGTGGGGGTGAGGTCCCAGTTTTCCTAACCTTTAAAGAAAGGTTCACACTGTTGGAGTTCACATTTTTGTGATTCATGTTTAAATTAGTTAAGATGTATTTAGAACCTCTTCTTCATTTTTCCATTTCCTCTAACATTCCTCCACTAAGTATTACACTTGAAGTTTGGCCGGATAAGCCCAAATAATACTGCCTCTTCCCTGATGGCCTGGATGTGCTCTCACTGCCATGAATCATTAAAAGACTTATTCTGTTACTCAAAAAGAGAAGTTAAGGCAAGAAGGTTAGCTTTGGAGTTAACCCTGAGAAGATGATGATGCTGGGGAAGGCTGTGCTTCTAAGATCTCTCTGCCTGGCTTTCCTCATTATCAGCTGGAATATGTTTTTTCATTTCACCCAATTAAACAAATTAAATACAACCACCTAGAGAATTCTGTAGGTAAATAAGCTGCTGCTTTTAAAAATAAAACCCCCTAGGGAGGATGGGATTGAGGCGTTTGCACACTAGGGTGAATGAATCAGATTCCAGGAATTGCCAGCCTTCCCAGAGGGCTGCAGAAGCCATCACGAATCGTCTGATGTAAACACAGAGCCCTCCCTGCAGATGTTCTGAGCCGTCGTCCTCTGTGTGAGGTCAGTGGCTCTTCCTGATTCCATTCTGGTCTCCTCAGATCAGGGAAGTGACCTGACCCGGGATGAATCCCAGAAGAACCCTAGATATTTACTTTAGGGACCCCTTCTTCCTCAGCAGCAGTGCTTCCTTCTGTGTGTCTTCCTGAACACCAAACAATCATGCGTGGGAACAGAAGTTCACTGACCGCATGTACAGGGCTGCCCCAACAGCAAAACAGCACCGATCAAAACAGCGGCTCCCTGAAGACCCGGGAATGGAAACTAGTGGAAGGGATGGTGTGAGCACACAGTTTACTCTCTTCTGCTGGGCACAAAAAGACCATAGAGCCAGAAGGGAGAAGGGACCTTGATATAGTTCTAGGCTTTCTGTCTATGCATACCAAAGCAAAAATCACTCAATTAGTTCAAATAACTGTATGGAATTTGGAGCAAAACTTTGCTAATTCATTTATGATTTAGATTTCTGGACTCCTGTTTTTGCCCTAAAGTTTAATATAAAATTATATAAAGTCACTTCTAATGTCATAAGTCCAGTTGATGTAGCAGCAGTAATTGAGGACATTATGTCTACTGTCATTCAATAGCTTAAATAACTTTTCTTCAAAAGTAAAATAAAATCCAAGTAATACAAGTTTAACTTTTTCCTATCTTTTTTTTCTAAAAAAGAAGCATGCAAATGTATTCAAACATAGGCAAGAGATCCAAAAACAACAAACTTAAGGCCAAAGCCGGTTCTTTGTTCCTATTTGAGAAATAGCACCCCAGCAGATCTAGGTCACAGCTGGATACCTTCCTGATAAATAGTGCTGTGGTATCAGTAGAGCAAACCATAAAAAACATAAAAAGAAATAGATCTTCAAAAGTCAAAGTTGAGCAGACATTGAAAGCTTACTGTGCTGAAGCAATACGCTAAGCTATAAATACTACAAATCAGGGAGCCTGCGTGCCCAGTCGTGTCTGACTCTTTGCCACCCCATGGACTGTAGCTCGCCAGGCTCCTCTATCTATGGGATTCTTCTGTTCTCCTGGCAAGAATACTGGAGTGGGTTGCTGTGCCCTCCTCCAGGGGATCTTCCTGACCCAGGGATTGAACCCACGTCTCATGTCTCCTGCATTAGCAGGCAGGTTCTTTTCCACTAGTGTCACCTGGGAAACTCCCCATAAATCAGGGTATACATTTATAAATCAGGATATAAATTTTAATGTCCCAAAGAGTTTGAGGTAAATATGTAAGTGGAAAAAAATGTATATACTTACGTGTGTGCATATATGTGAGCATATATAATACATGTGTACATAAGATAAAATTTATGTTTATAATACATATGTATGAGCACATACCATGTGTATATACAGTCAGCCATATCTGCAGATTCTGCATCCCCAGAGTCAACCAACCAGAGTAAAAATATTCAGGGAAAAAAATTCCAAAAAGCAAAATTTGAATTTGCCACATGCAACTCTTTACATAACATTTACAATAGTATTTACAACTATTTACATAGCATTTACATTATATTAGGTATTATAAGTAATCTAGAGATGATTTAAAGTCCATGGCAGGATGTGCATAGTTATATATAAATGTTATGCCATTTTCTATAAGGGACTTGAGCATCCCTGGATTTGGGTATCCACGGGAGCCTTGGGGCCAATCCCTGAGGACATGAACTGTAAGGGGCTCAGGGAGCACTGTTCCCTCACTAGGTGGCCACCCATTCCAAAGGGAGCGTCCTTCTGGACCAGTCTTAGCTGCCTGTTTATACGGATGGACATCTGGATCACAAGGCTAGCCTATTTTAGTTATAACAGTTCTAGTTTTCCTCTCTGGAAGCTGAGGAAACCTGAAAGCATTAAAAACTGAGGTTGAAGTGTTTAAAGCAACTGACATACTTTTTTCATAAAAAGCTAAAGGATCAGAGGATAACACAAACAGAAGTTAACAATGTTAACAAAAGCCATCTTTTTTTTCACTTCTCAACTATTATTCATCCTTAAGAGACTGTCTCTAGGGATCCTCTAGGGATTTCTGTGGTTCTGCCTGGGTTTATTTCAGTCCTGTGTCTTCTTCAGTATCTTTGATAATATTGGCGATAATAAGTAATTTACATAAACAGGAGAAACTAGAGAGGAATAAGCCTTTATTCCCTCCCACTGAAGCACCTGAGAGTAGAATGTTCTGCTGCCCTGGGACTTTAGAAATGTGCCATTTTAACTAACTTGTCAGCATAAACAGCTATTTTATTGCTACAAGCTAAGTCATTTCAGTTGTGTTGGACTCTTTGCGACCCTATGGACCATAGCCCATCAGGCTCCTCTGCCCATGGGATTCTCCAGGCAAGAATCCTGGAGTGCCCTGCCATGCCCTCCTCCAGGGCATCTTCCTGACCCAGGGAGAGAACCTGCATCTCTTAAGCCGGCTACATTGGCAGATGGGTTCTTTACCATTAGCACCACCTGGGAAGCCCAAATGGACACTATAAATACTACTCTAAGCACTCACACTTATTTTTCCCAGTTGACAGGCCCTTGGTATCACAAGCCAGCTGTCTTTAAAAAACTGTGAGCTGATTACATACGCCTGCAGGGTTACCTTGCATTCAGAACAAAAAGCTAAGTACTTACTCCCTTGAGAGAACACCATTGGCCAGGATTCCTTCATATCGACTTATCCCTTTGCGCAGAAACACGCTGATCTGACCACCCACTTCATCTGCAATCACTCCTGCATGGATGGCGGCTTTGCACAATAAAGAGGTCTGAAACAGCAACGTCATCATTTATAAGTGACTCAACAATGCATTTCACACATGGTGGGAGTTTTCCATTTTGTTGCAACTTGTGGTGAGGATGCCTACATGACCCATGATGTGGCTAAATTATAATTCATTTAAATAAAAAGTAGAAGGGAATGGAAAAAAGTATTAGATAACCATCTCAGAATGACATCAGAGTGATATATTTATGCTGACTAACTTGGGAACCTTCCCACTAGGTAGGAAGGAAGGGAGGTGATCTACAGTATCCATGGCTTTCCAGTGAATAATGCCTCCTGGGGGCCATGCCCATGTGTGGTCACCTCCCACACGGAGGCTGAACTGGGCCACAGCACTTGTTCTGTTCTGATGCAGGTAATGTGGCCCTGCCAGCTGTCAGTAAGGCCTCCTGAGACTCCCACCCCAGATGACCTGTCACACAAATGCAGCTGCAATTCTAGGCAAAGGGAGCTTAAGAACCAACCAACCCACGTTGTTAACCCACAAACTGGTCAGCAAAGAAAACGGCTATCATTTTAAACCATCATTTTAAGTTCTGGGGTGACTTGTTCAGCAAGAATAGATAGCTGCTCAGTTTCTTACAAATCCTAAAAGATCATGCTGTTAAAATGCTGCACTCAATATGCCAGCAAATTTGGAAAACTTAGCATTGGCCACATAACTGGAAAAGGTCAGTTTTCATTCCAATCCCAAAGAAGGGCAATGCCAAAGAATGTTCAAACTACTGCACAATTGCACTCATTTCACATGCTAGCTAAATAATGCTCAAAATTCTCCAAGCTAGGCTTCAACAATACATGAAATGAGAACTCCCAGGTGTTCAGGCTGGATTTAGAAAAGGCAGATGAACAAGAGATCAAATTGCCAACATCTGCTGGATCATCGAAAAAGCAAGAGAATTCCAGAAGAAACATTTACTTCTGCTTCATTGACTATGCTAAAGCCTTTGACTGTGGATCACAACAAACTATGAAAATTCTTCAAGAGATGGGAATACATGACCACCTTACCTGCCTCCTGCGAAACCTGTATGCAAGTCAAGAAGCAACAGTTAGAACTGGACATGGAACAACAGACTGGTTCCAAATTGGGAAAGGAGTACATCAAAGCTGTATATTGTCACCTTGCTTATTTAACTTATATGCAGAGTATATCATGTGAAATGCCAGGCTGGATGAAGCACAAACTGGAATCAAGATTGATGGGAGAAATATCAATAACCTCAGATATGCAGATCTTTTAACCTCAGATATGCACCACCCTTATGGCAGAAACTGAAGAGGAACTAGAGTCTCTTGATGAAAGTGAAAGAGGAGAGTGAAAAAGCTGGCTTAAAACTCAAACATTCAAAAAACTAAGATCATGGCATCCAGTCCCATCACTTCATGGCAAATAGATGGGGAAACAATGGAAACAGTGACAGACTTTATTTTCTTGGGCTCCAAAATCACTGCAGATGGTGACTGCAGCCATGAAATTAAAAGACACTTGCTCCTTGGAAGAAAAGCTATGACCAACCTAGACAGCATGTTAAAAAACAGAGACATTACTTGGTTGACAAAGGTCCATCTAGTCAAAGCTATGGTTTTTCCAGTAGTCATGTATGGATGTGAGAATTGGACCATAAAGAAGGCTGAGCACCAAAGAATTGATCCTTTTGAACTGTGGTGTTAGAGAAGACTCTGGAGAGTCCCTTGGACTGCAAGGAGATCAAACAAGTCAATCCTAAAGGAAATCAATCCTGAATATTCATAGGAAGGATTGATGCTGAAGCTCCAATACTTTGGCCACCTGATGTGAAGAGCCAACTCATTACAAAAGACCCTGATGCTGGGAAAGATTAAGGGCAGGAGGAGAAGGGGACGACAGAGGATGAGATGGTTGGATGGCATGACCAACTCAATAGATATGACTTTGGGCAAGCTCTGGGAAATGGTGAAGGACAGGGAAGCCTGGCATGCTGTAGTCCATGGAGTCACAAAGAGTCGGATACAACTGAGCAACTGAACAACAGCAACAATGGTTTCTTACATTTGCTTTACTAAATACACATTTTGAGGATTATTTGAGAAGGTGAAGCTTCCATGCCACAGTTTCATTTTAAAATTAGATATTTAACAAGGCATCAAAACCAAAACTCCCTTCTCCAGGGGATCTTCCCATCCCAGAGATTCCTGGAGAATTCCATGGACTGTATAGTCCATGGGGTCACAAAGTCGGGACATGACTGGGCGACTTTCACTTTCAAAACCAAAATGGTAGCATCAGCCACAAAACACTCAGTGGACAAGAAAATGGGATGAAGGTCTGAGAGCGAATGAAGAGCAACCCAGGGCCCACAGCCCCCTTCTCATTTCCTGAATCTCCTCTGAGTGGGTCTAACAGCTGGTCAGCCCTCCATGGCTGCTGGCTGGGGTGATGAACCGGGAGCAGGTACCTGGCTGCCTCTGATTAGCAGGTGGCCCTGTGATTGGAAGTGGGGCTGGGTAGAAAGAAATGGAACTTTTTAACAGGGCTCCCAGGCCCAGAGGCCCCCACAAGCCCAGATTGGTGTGGGAGGGTGATCTGGCTATTAGCCCAGGACTGAGCAGTCCAGAAGGATTTTTTCCCAAATAAATTTTAGCAATGCCTCACTTCTCTGTGATGGCTAGTGCCAAAAAGATAAAAGCAGCTCATGAAAATGTGTTTCATAACTGAACTTGGGAGTTTCTCTTTGTGTTAATGCCAACACTGTTTACCTTACTGCAGTGGACAGTTTTTCTTAGGTTTAGGTTATAATACTAGGAGGACCAATGAGACCAACCATATTTTTGTGACTAATGTGGAGCCTCTTGATGAGGGTGAAAGAGGAGACTGAAAAACCTGGCTTAGAACTCAACATTAAAAAAAACAAAGATCATGGCATCTGGTCCCATCATTTCGTAATAAATAAGAGGAGGAAAAAGTGGAAACAGTGACAGATTTTATTTTCTTGGGCTCCAGAATCACTGCAGAGGATGACTGCAGCCATAAAATTAATAGACGCTCCTTGGAAAGAAAGCTATGACAAACCTAGACAGCATATTAAAAAGCAAAGACATCACTTTGCCAACAAAGGTCCATATAGTCAAAGCTATGGTTTTTCCAGTAGTCATGTAAGGATGTGAGAGTTGGAACATAAAGAAGGCTGAACACTGAAGAATTGGTGCTTTTGAATTGTGCAGAAGACTCTTGAGTGTCCTTGGACTGCAAGGAGATCAAACCAGTCAATCCTAAAGGAAATCAATCCTGAATATTCACTGGAAGGATTGATGCTAAAGCTGAAGCTCCAGTACTTTAGCCACCTGATGAGAAGAGCTGACTCATTGGAAAAGACCCTGATGCTGGGAAAGGCTGAAGGCAGGAGGAGAAAGGGATGACAGAAGATGAGATGGTTCGATGACAGGGAAGCCTGGCGTGCTGCAGTCCATGGGGTCAGAGAGTCGGACAGGACTTAGTGACTGAACGACAGCAACAATGCGGTTGCAATAAAATTGAGAACTTTTGTGATCTTTAATTTAGAGAGCTCGTATTTCCTGAACTAGATTAGATTTGGCAAAGTGAGTCAGTTTTCCAATGGTTTCTATCATTGTGAAAAAAGGGGAGGACCTCATGACAAAGAAGAATAAGAGAAGAGAATGCTGAAACAGATGCAGATACTACCTCCTTCTTGATTTGGAGGGAAAAAAAGAATTAGAAGATAGTAATCTTTAAAAAGGCAGCTTGCCTTTTCATCTTTTATAAATTTTCTTTTTTTTTTTAAAGGTGTCTTATTATGGTTTTAGTCTTTTAGTGCACAAAATAGAGGAGATAGCTATAATGGAGACATCCTGAATGTAAATTCAGCAATTTAGCGCGTCACCCTGTCTCCGTCTCCAGCTCTACCAGATGTGAAGTCATCTCACTGTTCTGGACCCAGCTTCCCAGTTCTCTTGGACAATGAAAAGGCTGGACTGGGTGATGTCCAGAGTCGCTCTGTGATTCTAAAGGGCACCCTGTGTACTATTATAGAGTCGATGCAGGGCTGCTTCCCTTTCTCAGCCCCAAATAAAAGGCAGATTGATCCAGGGGTCAGCTGGGCACCTATTCCCACTGTCTCTGGGATCACCTGGCTTCCTCTGACTTCAGTCTGGGGATGGGATGGTCTTCATTCCAGGATCCCTGCCCTGCGTAGAGCTCTCAGTGGACTTGGCATGTTCGAGGGCCTCCTTGCTAACAAGAGGACAGGTTTACAGGCCAACAAGCAATGGAACCTATCAGCTTCACTGACAAGTATTCTCATTTCCCACAGTCCCTAGCATTGATGTACCCAGTGGTATGTGCCCATTTTATGGAATTCATTTCATTATATTATTGCATATTAAATTCCATGTATTTTTTTTAATAGTTTTTCATTATATTAAAGGCAGGACATAAGATACATCCCCAAGAGAATAACCGCCAGATCTGGCTACCATAATATCATGATAAAATTGTAAGCCCTTTCCTGGGTTATTTCCAGGAAGGAAAGTTATTTCCTTAAAAAAAAAAAAAAAAATCACTCCACCAACTTAAATAAAATTGATGTTTTCTAAAGCTGAGGCTTTTTGGTCTTATTGTTCAGCCACTAAGTCATGTTCGACTCTGTGACCCCATGGACTGCAGCATGCTGGGCTCTCCTGTCTTTCACTGTCTCCTGGAGTTTGTGCAAATTCATGTCCATTGAGTTGGTTGTGCTATCTAACCATCTCATCCTTTGCCACTCCCTTCTTCTCCTTTTGCCTTCAGTCTTTCCCAGCATCAAGTTCTTTTCCAATGAGTTGGCTCTATGCATCCGGTGACCAAAGTATTGGAACTTCAACTCCAGCATCAAACCTTCCAATGAATATACAGGGTTGATTTCCTTTAAGATTGACTGGTTTGATCTCCTTGCAGTCCAAGGGACGCTCAAGAGTGTTCTCCAGCACCACGACTGGAAAGCATCCATTTTTCAGTGCTCAGCCTTCTTCATGGTTGAACTGTCACACCTGAACCTGACTACTGGAAAAACCCATAGTTTGACTATATGGATTTTTGCTGGCAAAGTGATGTCTCTATTTTTTAATATGCTGTCTAGGTTTGTCATAGCTTTCCCTCCAAGGAGCAAGTGTCTTCTAATTTCAAGGCTGTAGTCACCATCCATAGTGATTTGGAGCCCAAGAAGATAAAATCTGTCACTGAAGGGATGGGAGAAGATGCCATGATCTTAGTTTTTTGAATGTTGAGTTTTAAGTCAGCTTTTTCACTCTCCTCTTTCACTCTTATCAAGAGGCTCTTTAGTTCCTTTCACTTTCTGCCATTAGCGTGGTATCATCTGCCTATCTGAGGTTGTTGATATTTTTCCAGGCAATCTTGATTCCAGTTTCTGATTCATCCAGCCCAGCATTTCCCATAATGTACTCTGCATATCGGGCTTTCCCGGTGGTTCAGCAGTAAAGAATCTGCCTGCCGTGCAGGAGCTGCAGGACACGTGGGTTTGATCCCTGAGTTGGAAAGATCCTCTGGAAAAGGACATGACAACCCAATCCAGTATCTTGCCTGGAAAATTCCATGGACGGAGGAGCATGATGGGCTACAGTCCATGGGGTCACTAAGAGTTGGACAGACTGAAGCAACTTAGCATGCACTCTGCATATAAGTTAAATAAGCTGTTAGATGAACAGCCTTGTCATACTTCTTTCCCAATTCTGAACCAGTCCATTGTTTCATGTCGGGTTCCAACTGTTGTTTCTTGACCTTTAAAAATCCACACTCACTGAACTGCATTTTTAAAAATTTTCCTTTTGAACAATAGATTTATACTTTGTCTTCTAGCTATTTGGGGATCTACATTTCACTGAAATATAAATACGGGAAAGCCTATATTAATCAGTGATTGCCTTAAACAAAAAAATTTCCTTCAGGAAAGGGAATGCAATGGACAACGGAAAACACCTGCAAGGCTCATGAACTTGGAAGTTTGGAATTAAACATCTCTGAAGTTCCCTGAGCCACAAAAGATGACCAAGCAGATCAGCATGAGAAGACTCAAAGAAATTATCAAATCATCCCAGAACTGGAGCATTTTTCTAAGTCTTCCTTTAAGAGAAAACAACTTGTACTAAAAAGTATTGACAGTATTAAAATAAAATTTAATAAGAGTAAATGTTTTAGATTCACTTTAACATAATATAAAGACAGCTTCCCTGGTGGCTCAGTGGTAAAGAATCCACCTGCCAATGTAGGAGACACAGGGAGACACCTCCCTGATTGAGGAAGGTCCCACATGCCATGTGGCAATTAAGCCCGTGGGCCACAACTGCTGAGCCTGTCTGTGCTCTGCAACGAGAAGCCACCACGATGAGAAGCCCGTGCACCACACCTAGAGAGAGGAGCCCCCCACTCACTGCTACTAGAGAAAGCCCTGGCACTTCAACAAAGACCCAGCGGAGTCAAAAATAAATAATTGATTTTTTAAAAAAACATGAAGAAAGCACATGTTCAAAATTATAAAAATGTATTCCACAGTCTATTCAATGAATTGTTTTAGTGTCGCTACAATCTTCATAATGACCATGATAACATTTTCCTTAGAAAAGTAATATACATTTACCATAGAAATTCTAGAAAATATGAAAAAATAAAATCACTATACTGTCATCACTCAGAGACAACCACTCATCAATATGATGTATTTATTTGCCTCTGGTTTTTTCTGGGTGTATGCAACTGGGTTTCTCCCTTTCTCTGCTAAATCAGGAACACACTTTTTGCACTCTCTCCCTTTAACTTACAGTACTTCTTGAATATTTGGGGGGAATGGAGAATTACTGAAACAAGTTAGTTAAGGGATGTGTTCTGCTTAAAAGCAGACGGTACAGTCAGCAGGCTTGGGAGAAGCTACCAAGAGAAAAACTATTCTGAGCGCTTTTTATTTCTGGTTTCCAGGTAAGGCAGAGCTTAAAGTCTGTATTTCTTAACTGGCATGTTAAGCCTACACTGTACGATGCCTTCATTCACCAGCCAAGGAGACAGAATCACAGAATCTTCAGAATTCTAAATGATCTTGAAAGTTTTCTGTGACACCTCATGACAGACTGTCCCTTTCTGCTCCCCACACATCCAGGCCACCGTGACAAAGGCTGTAATCTCCACACTTGACACTTTCATTGATTAGGGCCCCCCTGTTTCTGGAGACACCCTATCCCATCTTACACTGTTCAGTTATTCCTTATATGCTATGGAAAGTGGCCTCCTGGATCTTCGTTCTGCCTTTTGAAACAACACAGAATGAACCAATTCTCTTATTATTATTATTATTATTGGAGTCAGTTGCTTTACAATATTCTATTAGTTTCTCCTGTACACCAAAGTGAATTGGCTGCACTTACACCTCCCTCTTTTTTGGATTTCCTTTCCATTTAGGTCACCGCAGAGCTCTGAGTACAGTTCCCTGTGCTGTATACAGTAGGTTCTCACTAGTTATCTATTTTATGTGCTGTGTTGTGTTAGTCACTCATTCATGTCCAAATCTTTGCGACTCCATGGACTATTAGCCTGCCAGGCTCCTCTGTCCATGGAATTCTGCAGGCTAGAACACTGGAGTGGGTTACCATTTCTTTCTCCAAGGGATCTTCCCAACGCAGGGATCGAACCCAGGTTTCCTGCACTGCAGGCAGATTCTTTACCATCTGAGCCACCAGGAAGCCCTATCTATTTTATACATAGTATCAGCAGTATATATATCGATCCTAACTTCCCAGTTCCTCCCATCACCACTGCTTTCCCCCTTGGTGTCCCTATGTTTGTTCTCTATGTCTGTGTCTCTATTGAGGCTTTGTATATAAGATTGTCTATACCAGTTTTTTTCCATATGGATGGACCTAGAGACTGCCATACTGAGTGAAGTATGTCTGAGCCACCAGGGAAGCCCATATACTTGTATATTAACTATACATCAATAAAATTAAAAAATAAATAAATAAAGATGGTATACAGGAAATGGAAAGAAAATTATCAGGAGGGGGAAAAAAAAGCAAGTAGCCATGTTGAAACAGTCCACATGGTAAGGAGCTGAGGACAGCTTCCAACCAAGAAGAAACTGAGGTCCTCTATCCAACAGTCCATCAGTAACTGCATGCTGCCAACACCATGTGAGCTTAGAAGCACATATTTTCCTAGTGGAGCCTCAGATGAAACTGCAGCCCCAGTGACACGCTCATGTCACCTTGGATAGAACCTGCTGAGTGGGTGTCCCTGAAGCAGAGAACTCAGCAGTGCGTGCTCAAACTCCTGACCACAGAACAGGAGAGGTAATACATGTGCTTCAGGCGTCCAAGTTTTTGGTAATAGTTATGTGGCAACAGTTATCTAATATACCCACAATATCAACATATACAAGAGAGAGACACTAGTCCAACTTTGAAGAGATGCGGTTTCAAAATACAAATTTTCCCTCCAGATAAAATCATACTGAGAGCAAATGGTGTAAAACCAGCTAGTGCATCAAACAGGAAACCTGTTTGTCAGCATTTGCAGGTCACATACCACCCAAGAAACCATTTACCTGTTACTCTGAAAAGGATAGCTCTGTCCAGAGGAGGCAGGGTAAACAGCTAAAGTAAGAAAGAAACAACGCTATTTCTCTTGCTGCATGGAATTATTAAGTTTCTTACACAGGCCAGAAAAATAATAAATTAAAACTATACATTGCTAGAAGGTGAAAACTATACCTCAACTTTTTTATGTCTTTTGGTTTACTTCCTAAAGTCATTTAGTACTTCAGCCTGTGCCAAGTAATTTTCAAACTGAGGTAGTATAAATCATTTTCAGATTCAGTTTCTAGGCCAAGTAAACATTCTATGTCAATCTTGTAAATAAAGAAAACACATGAAAAAGGAAGCGACGAGCAAAATCACAGACTTGCTGCTTCCAGAATCAGGAGGTACTGAAAGCAGAATTAAAGCCAATTTTTCCTCCTCCTGTAGGAGATAAATGATCAAGCTCCTAGAACATGTATGTTCCCTGTGCATAAAGACATGTTAATAAATCATAGGAAAGTTCCATCACTATACAGATTTTCATATTTCTAATAACTCAAGCCCCTTCCCATAAGCTATAAACCCAACCATTTAAAATAGTAATGTAAATTTTTAAAAATCAGGTATCAGATTTCCAGGATAGAAATCTGTGAATAGTAAGAAATGAAGAATTGTGAATCTGAATGTAAGACATATACATTAATAAAAGACATATACAAAAGACATATACATATACATATAATAAAAAGACATATACATTAATAAAAAGGATTTCTGGTGAGTTTATTTTTTTCTGGGAACAATGTATATCACCCAGTTTCAACAGGCCTAAGAAATTGGGGTGCAAGGAGGGAGGGGAATAATATAAAAGAGCAGGGCAAATGGCTTCATTGGTCCCAGATACAATGTCACCATTCTGTGCTGTAAAATGTTCATGTCTTTGGCTGTATTACCTGAAGCAATTGGAGTAGTAAAATCAATAAACAAATTATAACAAAAGGATGACCTCTTATGAAAACTGGATGGAATTATACTCTTAAGTTATAATAAAGGGTTCTGTTTCATTTATAGTATCCTTAATTGGAAATGCTAAAAATAGGAATGAATGCATGAAAAACCTTGGTTTTTATACTTATTATTTCATTTATTCTCAGAAAAGAGAACTGTGCGTCTATCTACAAAGTTTTACATCTTATTTGACTTACTTTGTAAAGAATTTAGGCAGAGCAACAAGCACTAATTTTTAATGTCTTCCCTGCCATAAAATTACCCTCAATTACTTACATCTCTATAGCCATGCACCACGTTCCCAGAAATATCTCCTGGTATGTCTCTACAACCAGCTGGGCAGAACTTGCTGGAAAAAAAAAGTAGAGTATATATTTTATTAAGGCTTGCTTAAATTAAAACGTATTAAATTATACTTAAAAGTATTTTCTCTCCATGCAACATGCAGGAACATCGTCCTCTAATGACAAATCAGAAACTTGATTTGTGAAAACACAGATTAACCTAAAGGCTTCCCTGGTGAGTCAGATGGTAAAGAATCTGCCTGCAATGCAGGAGACATGGGTTTGATCCCTGGGTCAAACAGCTTTGAAGATGAATGCCATAAGCCCTTGTTTCTCTATATACCATATTACAATAATGTTTGTTTGGTTTGCTCAAGAAGAATGTACCAGCCCAAACAGATTCCAAAATAGCAGTTGCTTTTATTTCATTTCCTCTCAATTTCCTCCTGCTGACTTAGCAAGTTAGATGTGTGACAACACCTAATTATCAAAACTACCCAAGTACATGGTTTATAATTCTTCCCCATTGACCTAATGGAATCCAGCACTGCAGCAATAATCAAGGAATTAAGTAACAGAAATAACGGAAATCCTATTACAGGCTTACAGTTCCTTATCCTAGCCCTTAGAGCCAAATATATTTGAGAATTCAGAATTTGAAGGATTTTGGAAAAGTAAAACAGTGCTAACAGTATATATGATGTAAAACGCTACTGAGGTCTGCAAATATAATCAGAACTTCAATATCTCTACCAAATACATGGATAGTTGTATTGGGCCAAAAGGATAAAGATAAAACTGTCTCATGTTTAATTTAGCCCAATTTTGCTGTCAGATGAATCTATGGTCACATTAATCATGTGCTGCCATCAAATGAATTACAAAAATTATTTGACTTTTCCAGCTTTCTACATTTTCTACATTTCATGATAGATGAAGGATTATGGCTCTGTACTAGTCATCATACCTCATCTTTAACTAAACATTACAAATCAGCTGGACACAGCTTAGATGGTCTGGCACCATAATATCACACTGTGGGGCTGAGCATATTCCTTTCTCTAAGAGGATACGAAATGACTACTGATGCCCGAAGGCCTTGGCACCACTGGGGCTATACACAGATGACTGGAAAGAAAATGCTGGTGAATGTCCACATTGGATGAACAGCAACTTTAAGGGCAACATCTAATTATTGGTCATTTTTGTTTTTGTCTTTTCTGAACTAGACTTCATATTAGTAAACAGTGGAGTTGATTCCGCATATAAAATAATCTCATTTGTTAGAATGTTAGATGGATAGGACCACGGACCCTTGAGCTTGACTTCTGGAGTATACTTATTTATTGTGTAGCTATTGATATACGAAATCCAGAGAGCTGTACCTGGCACTAAGGAAACACTCTAAGGAGTTAAGAGTTGTTGTTAGTGTTTTTGTTGACAATGACTTCTAGACCAGTGGTTCTCAACTAGGGGTGATTTCTGCCCACCCAGAAACACTTGGAAATGTCTGGAGATGTTTACCACAACTGGCACACACAGGCCAGGGATGCTGCTAAATATCCATAATGCACAGACCAGCTCTTCCCAAGAACAAATAATCCACAATATCAGTAGTGCCAAGGTTGAGAAATCCCCTCTAGGCTCTTGTTTTAGAAATGAGAAAATGTACATCAAAGAGATCAAGTAATTTTTCCAAAGTAAGGCTGGAGTGAAACTTTTCATCTCCTATTCTCTGTAGGTCTCTTTCCTGTGGGAAAGAGAAAATGAACCCCCTCCAGAATCACAAAAGTCATTCCCAAATGCTGGCCAGGCAATAAAAGGACTCTAGACTCCATTTTGGCACACAGGTACTAGAGCAGAACTCAGGGGTCAGCAAACTATGACCCATGGGCCAAATCCAACCTGCACTTTTTTTTTTTTTAATAAAGTTTTATCAGAACACAGCCATGCTCATTCATTGACCCACATACTGTCTATGGCTGCTTTTTCACTACAAAGGGAACAGAACTGTGTGAACAAATAAAAAAAGACTGCATGGCCTGCAAAACCTAAAATATTTACTACCTGGCCTTTGATAGAAAGTCTGCTGATTTCTGCTGTATAAGAAACCATTTCAAATATTCCTGATTCATTACAACACAGATGATTTTTTAAATTAAATACAAATAAAGGTACTTTATCTGGCTTAACGTCAAGGAAAACAAAATATTCAGCAACAAATGACTGCAGCACAACTAGGACACTGTATTTACCTGTATTCTGTCTTCAAATAATGGTTAGCTCGTTCCAAACATGTTATTAAATCTGTCATAAATAAAGACAACTGCAATTAGCAGACTGAATAGAAGTTAGGACACTCATGCTCTAAAGATTTCTTTTAAAATGAAACAGTTTCTGAAAAGTATTTATTTATTCTCTAGTTATCTGAACTTTTCTGTTTAAAATTAAATAAAAACAGAAACACTATCCCCAGGATTTCATTAGTTCATCTTTCTTTTCTACCATCAATGATGGTTCTTCACCATTTATCCAGTGGATGGTAACAGAATCTTGTTTCAACCAAAAAACAACATTGGATCGTTACTATTGACTACACACCTACAAAGATCATGTAACTTATACTGGCAGGTAGAAAACAATTTCAAGAGCCCATGTGGTTTACAGAGAAGGTTCAGGAACATTTTAATTTGACAGTTTATCTAGTGGCATCCAAGCGACCACAGGGCCAGGTGTTTAGCTGGAACACAAAGTGCTTATGAGCTTTGATCAATGAGGTCCAAAGACTTAAAAGAAAGGTGCTCTGTGAAGCAATTTATAGAACTGAACTTATACTAAGAATGGAAACTCGAAGATGCTGTGGATTTGGGTGCTTTTAGATGCACCTAGGATAGTTTCCAATATTCCACACTTGCTGCTGTTCTTTCCTTAATCTTTTCAGTGGTTCTTAGGGAGCAACCTATGCTGATCACTGGCCATGCAGCGGCCTTCTAGGATTGCTCAGATCTGATTGACTGAGCAGGAAATAAATGGAGTACCCTGTTCCCAGAGTTATTTCTGCTGGAGGGAACTGAGCAGAAACTCTGGACACCTCTGAGGCCCTGGAGAGACCCTGGGCTGCACGGAAATGACTCTGGAGTTGACCCAGACGAGACCCTGGAGTTGACCCTAGACGAGAGGCTATGTTTTCCTTCCCCATCCGTGTTCATGCCCCTCTTCTCTCCTGCTGATGCGCCAGCTTGATGAATGGGGCACTCGGTGACAGTGACCTCATCCTTCTCGCATTGCGTGCTCCTAGGCTGGTGTGCTGGTGGGTATGAAGGCTGGGGCGGGGGTATCACTGGTTAAAAGCCTTGTCTCCTGGACCAAGAAAGGGGTTGGGGGAGAGCTCCAGAGAACAGCCAGACCTCAGAAGGGTCAGGCGCATATCCCTAAAGATCCAAGGTTTCTTGGAAAATTAAGTCAACCCTCTCCCATATAAGTCAGTGATCAATCTAACATGTGCTATGAAAGCATTCAGTTCAGACCTAACTAAATACCTATGAAGACACTGTGTTCCTCTCTTCCCTGACATCTCAATTCTGATTCTGAGGTCCCAATTCTGTCCAAAGATGGTGACTAGCAAGAGGAATTCTAAGACAGATAAAGGTTTACCGATTCATGCTGGTTATTCCACCATACCTGGATGGTCGCTGCTGGCATAGGTTAGCAAAAAACCCCGCCCAGAAATGTGGGATCCACTCTCAAAGCGCACAGTTACTTCATTGGTATTCAGCAGAAGTTCTTTGGGCATAGTCATGCTTCCACAATATGGACCTGAAAACAAAGCATGCTGGTGGCTCATTTCAAAATTTATACCAGTACAAAGAATTTGTTTATGTATTTTTCTTCCTTAAAGGTCAAATTACCAAACAACACACACTTAGGAATCATCATCTTTACCGACTGAAATTTTGCTTTGTCCTGAGACTAAGAGGTAGAAACTGATGGTAAACTTAATTATACAGACAAACCAAGGTAGGGACAGTGGCCAACTCTGGATAGGCAACAGGCTGGAACTAGTTAATTTAATTATGAACAACCTAAAGACATAGGTTTTTATTTTTGTAAGAACACTACTAAGAAAAATCAAATATATTAGGGGACTTCCCTGGCAGTCCAGTGGTTAAGACTCTGTCCTTCCAATGCAGGGGGCATGAGTTCAATCCCTCGTGAGGGAACTAAGATCACCCATGCTGTGCAGTATGGCCAAAATTAAATAAATAAATTGTTTAATAAAGTCAAATATATTGGGGGCTTCCCAGGTGATACCAGTGGTTAAAAAAAAAATCTACCCCAAGTCAGGAGATGCAAGAGATGCAGGTTTGATCCCTGGGTTGGGAAGATTCCCTGCAGAAGTAAATGGCAACACACTCCAGTATTCTTGCCTGGAAAACTCCATTGACAGAGGAGCTTGGCAACTACAGTCCATGGGGTCACAAAGAGTCAGACAAGACTGAGCATGACTGCACGCACACACACAAATGTTAGATAGTAAAGAAAATGTTATTACAAAGGTGATATTCTAGGAACTTCCTAAATGTGCTTAAAAGAAAAAAAGTGAAATGAAAGTGTTAGTCGCTCAGTTGTGTCCGAACCTTTGCGACCCCATGGACTGTAGCCCACCAGACTCCTCTCCTCTGTCCATGGAATTCTCTAGGCAACAATACTGGGATGGGTTATCGGTCCCTTCTCCAGGGGAACCTTCCTGACTCAGAGATCGAACCCAGGTCTCCTGCAGTGCAGACAGATTCTTTACCATCTGAGCCAGCAGGGAAGCCCAAATTTGCCTAAAGTATAGTCCAAAAATTGTGTCCCAATCAAATTCATGTTGAAATCCTAATGTCTGATGTGATAGTATTAGGAGGCCTTGGGGACGTGCTTAGTTTAACAAGGGCAAAGCCCTCATGAATGGGATTACAGCCTTTATAAAGAAGGCCCCAGTGAGTTGGCTTGCCCTTCCAGCAGGTGAAGACAGCAAGATAGCTATGAACCAGGAATTGGGTTCTCACCAGCCACTACACTATATCCACCAGCACTGTGATCTTGAACTTCCCAGCCTGCAGACTGTGAGAAATGAATGTCTGTTGTGCATAAGCTACCTGGTTTATGATGTTTTGTTATAGCAGCCTGGAGAGACTAAGAGAGAGAGCAAAGAAAATGTTATCACATAAATATATTCTAGGGGCTTCCTAGGGCATCTGAATAAAAAATGTGTGCATAACTAAATCACTTTGCTGTACATATGAAACTAACACAACATTGTAAATCAACTATACTTCAATTTTTTTACAGAAATGTACATAAAGAAAAGAAAGTTCCACAATTTAAGGACTGTCCCATACATGGGAAAAATCTATGTTCATGCAGTTCACTCATCTCTCTTTCTCTTCTCTACCACTCTTAACAGTAACTTCTGATTAATGTATGTAATTTACTTTGATTTGTAAAATGAAGTTTATAAGAAAGCAGAGTAATTTCTAAAGGCTTTTGAAATACCACAGTATATATTATACAATTAAGAATATAACATTGTTGTTTCTAGACTATGTTGCTTGAAAAGCAATAAGAAGTTCTATGAACTTTTAAGAGACAAAATTAGATTTGGAACTTAAAAAAAAAAAGACCTTCCTAAGACTACTCAAGTAGAGGTTTAGTTTGTAAATTGTCATCTTGAAAGTCAAGTATGCAAGACATGATAATTTCTCTGAAAACAGGGATTAGCAAACAAATTTTGAAGGCAGGTACTCTTCATCAACTTCTCCCAAAATAGAAAAAATAGCATAGGGCTAATTGCAACAATGACTGCATCAGGTTAAGGGAAGACCACTCCAAGTCAGCACTAGTACGACTGGTCACACCAGACAAAGCCAATACAGGGCCCAGACGGCTTAAATAGGCAGAAGAAGACTGTGAACCCAGCTCAGCCTTCCTCTCCCGGTATAAGGGATCGGATTTCTCTTTGTCCGGTCCAGATGTCATATTCTGAAAATGTGATGAAATGAGAGATGCTGTGTGTTTACATGCCACACGTCTCTGTTGCTCCCTATTATTAAATGATGATGAATTCCAAACAAAAAAGAGTGTTTCTCTCTTTAGAAATACTTGTATATAATTACTTATGTGAGTTAATACTCGCAAATAATTTAGAATGGAACCTAGGATATAAAGTTACTCATGCATTAAGTACCTGTTAAATGAATATACGAAAACAAACAAATAATGCCTGTCTTCCTTTTAGGCTATATTCCCTGGGGTTAGGGACTTTCCTATCATCACTTTCTCTCAGACAGCTTGTACATGTGGCAGCCTTCCAAATATTGGCTGAATCTAAATGAAGTTAAATGTTTTTCTACTTGCAGCAGTTGGTTTTAAAACAAAACATGATTATAAAGATACACAAAATATTTAATCTTGTCATTACAGAATATCATGAAGTAAGCAAGAAAATTGTAGAAAAGAAAGGAAAGAAAATCATTAGTGTGGTAGCTATATGGATTTTTTTTATCTTTAAGAATGTTCATAAGCACAGAAGATAGGTAATTAATACTAAATCCATTTTTGTATAATCAAGTAGAATGAGAAGCATTTTTTCAAAATTAAAGTGAGTCATTACTGTGCTTGACTTTTGCAACTGATTCTCAGTTTTAAATATGTTTCAAATTCATTTGTTCTTTGCACAAGTTAAGTCAGATACTTGCTTTGCAAACCTAACAACAAAGATGAAATAACTAGTTACTTGTTGCTATTAATAGGTCAGAATATTTTCCTAACCCATATTTACTTTTTCCAAGAAGAATAACAACATGAAGACTTCTCCAAACAGTGATGACACCATACCAATCTCTCCTTAAACTTCTATTGCATTCCAACTAGTTCTAACAAAAACAGTGAGGAAAAGCAAGTCTAAATTGATTATCAGTGGGAACTTGACATTTTTCTAGTTGAAATATATTTGATGTATAACACTAATTTAAGGTAGACAACATGCTAGTTTGATATCTTTATGTATTTTAGTATGATAGTCACTGTAGGGATAATTAGCATGTGTGGTGTTGTGTTAGTCGCTCAGTCGTGTCGGACTCTTTGTGACCCCATGGGGGTCCTCTGTAGCCTGCCAGGGTCCTCTGTCCATGGGATTCTCTAAGCAAGAATACTGGGGTGGGTGGCCATTTCCTTCTCCAAAATTAGCATATCTATCATATTACTTATTTCTTCTGAGTGGTTGCAATAATTAAGTAGTAGTCTCTTAACAAGTTGATGATTACAATAAAGTATTGTTGTCTGTATTCACTCAACTGTGCATTAAATCTCTAGGGTTTATTTGTTACTCACCGCAAGCTTGTACCCTTAAACAACATCAATCCTATTTTCCTACCCTCCATCCCCTGGTAGCTACCATTTTGCTTTCTGTTTTTATGAACTGGTCTTTTTTTAGATTCCATATGTAAATGGAGATCATACACTATTTGTCTTTTTCTATCTGACTCATCTCACGTAGCATTATGTGCTCAAGGTCCATCTACGCTGTTGCAAATGACAGGATGTCCTACTTTCTCACGGTTGAATAATTGGAGGGTTTTTTTTTTTTTTTTAGATTTTTATGGAACAATTGAAAGGAAAGGCTGCAAAATTATAAATACTTTACATATATAGATAAAACTGCATGCCATCATGCTGACTTGCTGTGCAATACATATAATTTCCTAAATCAAAAACACACAGTAAAACTCTAATTTGGCTGCATCCCCCACAAAGTCCCAGTAAATATTTCTGGAAGAAGTTCAAAGAAAGAAAATGTAAACACACACATCCTTTAATCACCCTTAACCCACTGATACCATCCTTCCCACATTCTCACTGATATGCTGCAAAAACATAACTAAACCTTAGCAGGGATAGGATGTGCCCTGTCTATTCAAATGCCATCATTAAAAGTTATTTGATAGGTTCATCAAGGCACTGCGGCCACACAGCAGGAGGCAGCTTTAGTCCAGAGCAGGAAACTGAAGCTGGGGACTGGCTACTCTACTGCCTTTGGCAAAACATTCAAATCATTGCTTGTCTGAAGGTCTGACAGATAAAGATTCCTTTGCACAGACTTCAGGTTAATAACTGCATTCCTGGAGTTAAAAGGGGAAAGTGATGAAAACAGAGAAGTGTGACTGGCAGTGAGAAGGAAAAATAATTAATCAGAAACCACAGAAGGATCCTACAAGCCTATCCTAAGTTCTCTCTTTCAGCTTGTTTTTAAACTAACTATGAATTTGTTTTAATTAATGAGCTTTCTGGCTGCACTGGGCCTTTGTTGCCGCGTGTGGGCTCCCTCCAGTTGCAGAGAGTGGAGGCTGCTCGCGAGCTGCGGTGCGAGCGTCTCACTGTGCTGGCTTCTCATCGCCGAGCACAAGCTCTAGGCTCATGGACTTCATGGGCTGTAGCTCGTGGGCCCTCGAGTGTGGGCTTCAGCTGCTGTGGCACACGGGCTCAGGTGTTTGGCGGCACATGGCATCTTCTCGAACCAGGGATGGAACCCAGGTCCCCTGCATTGGCAAGTGAATTCTTGACAACTGAGCCACCAGGAAAGTCCTGCATTCTCAGTTTTCAGCCAGACTCCCTTGAGGATGGTATCTCTTTCTATGAAAGACTTTCTCCACCCCACCTGCCCAGAAGATGTATTTACTCTTAGGTACTCTGTCTCAATTTTTAAAAAGGATCTACACCTGTATTTGAACAATACACAATGCCAGTGTCACTGGAAGTGACAGTGTCATTAAGAG